GGGCGGGCGGGCGGGAGGAGCGGGACACACGTTAGCTCGCCGTCGCACACGGATTCTCGCCGCTAACCGCACCCGACAAGCGATGCCACGCTGCCGCTCGGGGTTTGACTTCCAAATAACCGCCGATACGCCGGCACTGGCCCAAAATTTCCTTGTGGGGCGGGGGGCGGGGTTATTTATGAGCTGATCGGCAAAGAGCAAAAATGCGCAAATAAGCGATGCTCTTTATCATCACCGGGTGATGGTCAACAATGGACATTTCTTCCCCTGCCAATAAGCGGGTGATCAGGGGAAAACAAATACTCCGGATAAGCAAAGAATACGGCCGAGGAATAAAGCCAACACAAATGGGGGTGTGAATGTGCGGGTCATCTTCGTCTAATGTTACGAAGAAGTAGATGTCCTTGAAAAAGTCTGCTTTTCTCCGTCTGAATGTGATCAAGTGCGAGGGTAAAATGACGTATGCGCGTGCGTGCATCGCAGAGTCTGCCAAGTCCCGTTCGGGTGAAACACGTGCAGTGCAGAGATCCTCCACCAGGGGCGCACTAACTCATTGCCCGGCGCCGCGATGAGGTGATCGGCCAATTCGCGTTCAGTAGGTTGACTCGTAGCTAGCGAGCCAGCCAGCCATCGACCCGTCTTCACACCCCGACGCGGCCGGCGGGTACCTGACAGGTCGCTGCTCTCGATGCGGCGCAGGTCCGAGTCCACCCAGAAGAGCTTGGCCAGCTCGTTGTCCACGGCCAGCGCCACGGGTTTGCCCAGCCCGCTGAAGAAGAGGACCTCGCGCTCCGTCCCGTCCAGCGCCGCGCGCTCGATAGTGGGCGAGCGCTCCAGCAGGTTGGTGAAGTACATGTACCTGAGCCCACACGTCACACGGTCAGGATCAGCCCGTTACGGGAGTTTGGCCAAAGCGGCGCTTGTGTCACCATCGGTGATGTCAAAAACAAAAAACACGTTTGCTCGTTCGCATGAGTTACGATTGGTCTTGGTCTGACAGGCGCCGCACGCAGTCGTTCCCCGTCATCTGACAAATTTTGTCACCGCTGTTCTTGTTCTCTGGCCTTTGCTCGCCAAACAACCGCTCTCACTCTCGTTCGGGGCACGGGGGGGCGTTGCGCCCGGCGAGGGCTCTGGCTGTCACCGGTCGCCCGCAAGTTTTTGATGCTGCGCCGCCGCCGCCGCCTTTCCAAGAGGCGGACTGGGCCCGCTTCTTCTTCCCGTTGAGCGCCCGCCGGGACGTTTTGCTTGTGGAATGTTGGAGGCGAGCGAGCGCAGCATCTGCAAACTTGCATCTGCAAAACCGCAGGCAGATTACTGGCCGGACCTGGCCCGAAGCGAAGGCTGCAATTACTACTCCAAACAAACGAGTTGGCGGGCCCGAGCCGGAGAATAAACAAGCAGAAATCAAGAGAAAACACAAAGGAAAGAGCGGAAGAAAAAAAAAAAAAAAAGTACCTGCGCAACAACATGCGTCAGTCAGTCTTTCAAAGTTTCCTGGCAGAAAGCGCTCTTTCCATCCGTACATCTTGAAACGGCCTCGGCGCGGCAAGCTTTTCAAGGGCCGCCGCGCCGTTCGGCACTCGCGCCGTTGCCGATTTTGAGGCCGCGCTTTTTTTAGGCCCCGGCCACTCCTCTCCGCGCCAACACAACAAATGGAAAAACAAAGGCCGCTTCGTTTTCGCGCCGACGCAAGCTCTCCCGCTCCAAAGCAAACGAGTGGCATCCGCGGGCTACTCGCACGCACGCACGCGGGCGGGCGGGCGGGCAAGGGAAGACGAGTCAAAGGCTCAAATCCTTCCCGGTCGGCGCCAAACGTGTTCCACGAGTGGAGTCGGAGCGCGACCTCCGGCGTCGCGCGTCCGCGAGGCCAAAAGGCGCGCAGGGGCGTCGTCGGGACGGACGGGGAAGGCGGACTCACCCTCTCTCGGGGTTGACCACGATGGCGCGCGGCTTGTCGTGCGGGCCCCTCAGCACCACGCCCACGCGGCCGCCGTCGGTGCGCGTGACGTTGATGACGTTGGTGAGCTCGCTGGTCCAGTAGATGAAGCGGCTGTAGATGTCGATGCTCAGGTCGTACAGCTGCACGCCCGACACCACCGTCGTGCTCTGACGCAAACACAAGCGCACGAGATACACGCCGCACATTACGTTGACAGGTTCGCGACGGAAGCGCTTCCTCGACATCCCCGCCGGGCTGAAGACGCGCGAGCCGAACCGACGGCAATCGCTCGATTTTGTTGCGCCGGATGCGGACGTCAAAAGAGAAGCCGGTTGCGCGAGAAGGCGGGCGTCAAACGTAGCCCGTTCAAAGGCGACCTTTGCGGCGCAGGTTTGACACGAGCCGTTCGGGGCCAGAAAGCCGAGCCCAAAGCCACCTGGTTGCCGTCCTCCTGAGCGCGGCGCACGACGTTCTGCTTGGAGTCGATCCAGTAGAGCTGCTTGTCCAGCGGGTCGTAGTCGATGGCGCGCACGTTCCTCAGGTTGTGGATGGGCAGGATGATGTCGGGACTCTGCTGCTCGTCCATCACCATGCGGTTGATGGCCGTCTTCTGGCTGAACAGCAGGAAGGACGTGGGCGCTGGAAAGCGACATTGGCGCAGGGCCGGCTTAAAAGGCGGCACACGCCGACGAGGACGCCCCCCCCCCCCCCCCCCCCCCCCCCCCCCACCCTTGCCGCGCCGCGCCCTCACCGTTGCACGTCTTGTTGTCGTAGCCCAGCGAGAAGTGCGCGGGGCAGCCGCACACGAAGCCGCTGACGGGCACGGCCAGGCAGAGGTGCGAGCAGTGGCCGTTGGTGGAGGCGCAGGCGTTCCAGCCGCCCTGGCGGGACGAGTGGAAGACCAGGATGTCCATCACGTAGTCCAGGTGGCCCTGGATGACGGTGCGGTTCTGCCCGCTGGTCTTGTTGGCCCGCTCGATGCTGCGCTGGCTCCAGTCCGTCCAGTAGATGTAGTCTTGGTACTGGGTCAGGCCGAACGGGTGGGGGAGGTCTTCGGCGATCACCTCGCGGTCCTGACCTGGAGCCGCAAAACCGCAGCCGGATCAGAAGAGGCAACGCGCCCCTCCCTGCCTCCCTCCCTCCCTCCCCTTTGTTGGCAGAGCAGGAGCGGGAGGGAGAGAGCGAGAGCCGAGGACGCGAGATCGCCGGGCGCGACGAGCCGTTACCCAGCATGTTGGACGACTCGATGAGCGTGGTGTCCAGGTCGGTCCAGTACAGGCGGCGCTCGGCGTAGTCGATGGTGAGGCCGTTGGCCCGGCCCACGTCCGCCACCAGCGTGAGGCGACCGGTCCCGTCCATGGCCGCTCGGTCGATCTTGGGCTTGCCGCCCCACTCGGTCCAGTACATGTAGCTGAGGAGAAGGCGAAAGCGGGTGAGGCGGACGGGACAAAGCGCAAGCGCGAAACGGAGCCAGTGCGAAACGGAGCCAGTGCGAAACGGAGCCAGTGCGAAACGGAGCCGGCGCTCACCCTTGGGCCGGGTCCAGCGCCAGCGCCCTGGGACTGTCCAGATCCTTCCAGACCAGGACCTGCCGATGCTGGCCGTCCAGTTTGGCCACCTCGATGCGGTTGGTGCCCGTGTCGGCCCAGTACAGGTTCTTGCCCAGCCAGTCCACCGCCATGCCCTCGGGGTAGTCCAGCCCGAACTCCACCACGTGCTCCAGGGCGCTGCCGTTCATGAAGGCCCGGCTGATGGTCTGCGGGGGAAGGCTTTTAGCTCGGGCCGAGCCGCGAGGCGCTACGGCGAGGGCGGACCTTGAGGGTGATGTCGGTCCAGTAGATCCTGTTGTCGGTGACGTCAAAGTCCAGGGCGGAGGCCTCCTTGACGCCGGTGAGCGGGATGGCCACGTTGTTGTTGTTGGTCTCCAGCGAGATGCGGCGGATGTCGGTGTGGCGCGAGAAGAGCAGGAAGGCCTCGGGCACGATGCACGTGCGCATGTCGGCGATCAGCTCCAGCCCGATGGGGCAGGCGCACTGCGCGCCCTGCGGCTTGAACAGGCAAAGGTGGCTGCAGCCGCCGTTGTTCTCGGCGCACGCGTTGCTGCCTGACGAGCCGGGAGGGGAGAGCGCCGGTCAGCTTCGCGGCCCGGACGTTGACGTCGGCGAAAACAAAACCGCGCGCGTCTGTAGCGAGCATCTCCAAATTGAAAAACGGGAAGGGCCCGAACGAGGGACATAAAGTCGCTGGAGACGCGGCGCTCGCGCCACCCGCCGCGGATCGGCACAAGCGATGCACGGGCGGCCGGAGTGGAAGCGACCGGAGCCGAAGCCCGCCGGAAGAGTCCGGCCGCGGCGGGCGAGGCGAGGCGAGGGGACCGCGCCGTCGTCCGAGTGAAACCGTCCCGCGAGTTGATCCTCCGAGCGGGTCGGAGGCGTTTCCGCGGCGCACTCACCGAAGGCCTCGCGGACGTAGGCGGCCTTGAGGCCCATGAGGTCGGGCAGCTGTTCGATGATGACCTCCCGCTCGGCCGTGTGCTTGTGGACGCGCTCGATGCTGCGCCGCTGCCAGTCCGTCCAGTAGATGAAGTCGCCCAGCAGCGTGAAGCCGAAAATGTGGGGGAGCTTGTCCTCCACCAGCACCCGTCTCGACGTCCCGTCCATGTTCATCACCTGCCCCCGCGCACACAGTCGCACGTAGTGTCCGGTCAGCAACATTTTACGGGAAGCCGTCTATTCAATTGTGCCGAGAGGAAAATCCGATGCGGAATCTGTTGCTGCATTTCCATTGGCTGCTTCAATTCAATTCTGCCGCGCCCGCCTTGGCGGCCGTGCAATAGCGAGTGAGCGCCGCTCCTGGAGATTCGCCAATCCGCAATCCTATTGATCGCCGGTGTCAAAGCGCGGTCCCGGTTGGCCGCCGTCACTGCCCGTTTGCCACGTGAGCTCGCCCATCATTGGGATCGGGTGCGTGGAAAACATGCGGGGACGGCGGCCCTCCGGAAGCGCACTTTGACACCGCTGATATTGGTCCTTTCTCACAGACGGCAGAAAACGTCACGCCGGAGAGTCCGAGATGTACAATGTGGACCAAATGTGAAATCCCGCAAAGGACGCCGAAACCGATCGTGAAAAAAAAAAAAAGAAAAGAGAATGTCCAACGAATGATCAGTCATCAAGAACAACAAATTCATGTCGCAAAGTACACAGCGCACGGCGAGGTTGTTTGCAAAGAGCAACACAAAGTCCAAAGAGAAATACATTTGTGTTCTCTTTGGTCCCGTGTTTTGCAACAACGCCCGCCGCCGCGCCATGAGTGTGACCGAAAAATAGGGAGAAAGAAAGAAAGAAAGAAATGAGCGGAGGAGGCCCTTAATGAGGACAATTGGGATCAATGACATGATTCGAATGCACCCGAGGCCGCGCGGGACGGCGACGACCGCTGCGGCCGCGCGCTTCGGCCGTTTCATCCGTATGAAATGAGACGCGCATCGCGTTCCAATTCAACGCATCTCGATTCCAACTGCACGCGTCGGCGGGCGACGTCATTACGCCGGCGCGCGGCGCTCGAGCCCGCCGCGGAAAATCCACCAAGCTTTCACAATCGAGTGGTCACGGCGAGGAACGACGCCCTTCGCTGGCGAAACCCGGCGGCGTCCGAGTGCGCGCCGACGGCCGCTCGGTCGTCCCGATGCAAGCGGGCCCAAAAGGACCGACCGTCTTGGGTACCCGTCCGTCCCCGCGGCCGTAAATATAGAAGCGAGTTTCCACGGTAGGCCAAAAGGTTTGACCGCAGAGTGGCGATGTTTCACATTCTGCTTCTATTCTAAACGGAGCCCACCGCAGCTGCAGCGCAGCCACAATCGCAACCAGATGTGGGAGCTGGCCACCGAAAGAAAAGAAAGGAAGAAAAGGAAAAAGGGAAGAAAAAAAATGGGTGGTGGTGGTGGTGGGGGCGAGACCTGAGGAGGGAGGGGAAGGAGGCCTCGGTGGGGGAGGGGGGCCGCTGGAAACGTGTTTGCGCATTCAACGGTCAAATCCGCAAAAACTCAAGTTCGGCCGCGAACGCCCGAGTTGCAATTTCAACAGACACATTCGCTATAGCACTTCAACTTCAAAGCTCTCGGGGGCTTGGAAGTTGACCTTCGCACTTTGACGGCACAAAAAAAACAAAGGAAAAAAAGTCCCGTTTGGAAGACGTGCGCGTACTCGGAACGTGAGCGCGGCCCACCTCGATCATGTCGGTCTTGGCGTCGCCCCAGTAGATCTTGCGCTCGTCGTAGTCCAGCGCCAGGCCGTTGGGCCAGCCCAGCGAGGTGTTGACCAGCACCAGCCGCTCCGTCCCGTCCAGGTCGGCGCGCTCGATCTTGGGCACCTCGCCCCAGTCCGTCCAGTACATGTACCTGAAGCAACAACATGTCAACGGCTCGCCCGTTCATCCGACGGCGCGCTTATTTTAGTGCGCTGCGTTGTCGTCCGCCCCCTTGCCCCTCCCCTCAATCAGAGGCGCAAGGTGATTTTAGGGGGCCCCACTTTTTTGCCGACCAGGAGTAGAAGAGCAAGAATGGCACACGTCGTGGATTTGCGGACATTTTTAGGAATGAAGCGGGAGGTTCAAAAAGACTGTGCTTGTCGTTCTTCTACTTCACCCTTTCATCATTTTTGCTGCCGTCAATTGGGAATTTACAGAACGTGGGGGGAAGGGGGGGGGGGTCAGCTTTCTCACCCGGCGACGGGATCCAGGACGATGGCCCGGGGCTCGTCCAGGTCCTCGGAGACCAGGATCTTGCGCATGGTGCCGTTGAGGCGGGTGACCTCGATGCGGTCGGTGCCCGTGTCGGTCCAGTAGAGGTTGCGCGCGATCCAGTCCACGGCGATGCCGTCGGGGTGGTTGACCTGCGACGTGACCACGAACTGCGCGTCGCCGCCGTCGAGAAGCGAGCGGCGGATGGCCTTCACGTCGTCGTCCGTCCAGTAGATGTAGCCGTCCACCGGGTCGTAGTCGATGGCGATGGCGTGGCGGATGTCGTCCACCTGCAGGATGATGGCGGTGAAGTCGGGCGTGTCCAGCGAGATGCGCCGCAGGTCCGTTCGCCGAGCCAGCAGCAGCACCCGCGTGGCACCTGCCGCACAAAAGCGCCGAGAGAAGGAAATGACAACCCGGCACTTCGACTCGCTGCCGTCGTAAACCGTGGCGAAGGAGCGAACGGGCGGCGTCGACTTTCCCAAGCCGACAAAACGAGGGAGAACAAGCGCGGCGAACGGCGAGGGGCGCGCGCTGACCGTCTCGGCAGGTCTTGTCGTCGCGCAGCAGCTGCACTCCGGTAGGGCAGGCGCAGCGGTAGAAGGGCGTGTCGGGCGACAGCAGGCACAGGTGAGAGCAGCCGCCGTTGTTGAGCGAGCACGGCGTGCTCACTGAAACGCACAAGCGCATCAAGATTTCAGGCCACAGAAATGCAGGAAATGACTCCCAAAACAACTCAAGAAACGCTTCGCGTGCTTGCGAGCCTCCCTCCAAAAAATAGCCTTCAAATAGTACACGTTTGATTTTGGGGAAGCGGATTTTCCGGATGAGGTCCTGGCCGAAGCCCCTCCCACTTCTCACTTGGCGCCGGTCACGACCGGCGGAACACGATGAGCAAGAAGACAGCGCACGGAGCCGGGGTCGGAAATTCCACAGAGACGGACGGCAGCCGCTCGACACGCCGCTCTTATCGGGGACCCCAAAAGAAACAAGAGGGGCGCTCGTCCCAAGCGAGACCGGTCCGGACCGCCGCCGAGCGCAGACTCACTCTGGGTTTGCCTCTTGGCGCTGAAGACGTGGATGTCCATGGGCGAGAAGATGTCCGAGTGGACCACGCGCTGCCGGGCGCCGTCGTGCTTGGAGCAGGAGTGGATGGAGTGCGTGGTCCAGTCGGTCCAGAAGAGCGTGTCCTCGAAGAGGGTGAGGGCAAACGGGTGAGGCAGCTCCCCTCTCACCACCACCTCCCTGAAACAACAAAAAGTCACACTCCTCCTCGCCGCTCCGCAAAGCAAAAAAGCAGGTGGCCGGGCCGGGCCGCGGCCCCCGCCCACAACGCGCCTTTTCAGCGGCGGCGCCGGCGCTCGGGTCGCTACCTGTTGGTGCCGTCCAGATGGCAGCGGTGGATGAAGCTGTGCTTGGCGTCGGCCCAGTAGAGTTTGAGCTGCTCGTAGTCCAGCGTGAGTCCGTTGGGCCAGTAGATGTCGCGCTCGACGATGACGGAGCGATTGGTCCCGTCCATGCCCGCCCGCTCGATCTTGGGGATCTCGCCCCAGTCCGTCCAGTACATGAAGCTGCCGCCACAAAGCACAAAGGCGCGCCGTCAGTCAGTCGCACGCCCGCAAAGAGAGCAGAACAAACTGGCAGAGGCGAGTGGCCGAAAGCGTCTTTTGGTTTGCTCCTCACATTTCTCCAGCCCGCCTCAACCTCCCCCTGCTTTTTCTTGGAACCCGTGTGCGGCACCACCACCACCAACAACAACACACGTGGGAAATCACACCAACATGCAGGCGGGCCGCACGGAGCTCAACCAACAGCTCAGCCCTCACACCGTAAGCGGGTCGGGACCTCAGACGGGTCTCGGCAAGAGATGGGAAAGTTGGCAAGACTTTGGGCGAGAGAGACGCCAGCGTCGGGAATGCGGAAATGGAAACACGGCGACGAGAAGGGACCGCCCGAAGCGGACGGAAGCCTCGGTCGGGAATTAGTCTTCGGACCGGATCGGGAAGAAGCGTTTGGGAATCAACCCGCAAAGCATTGGGACGAGGCGGAAAACGCCGCGGGGGCCGACCCCGGCGTCGGGGTCCCTTGGCATTGCGAAGCGTTTCGGAGCGGATGAGAACGTTGGTGAGAGCATGCAAGCGTCGAGAGGGAAGCGGTCGGGGCGACGCGCTGGGCCCAAAGGGGGCGAGAGAGGGAAACGAGGCCGGCGACCCACCCTCTGGCGGGGTCCAAGGCGATGGCCCTGGGCTGGTCCAGCTCCTGCCAGAAGAGAACCTTCCTCAGGCTCCCGTCCAGCTCCGACACCTCGATGCGGTTGGTCTCCGAGTCGGTCCAGTAGAGCTTGGCGGCCAGCCAGTCGCAGGCCAGCCCGTCGGGGGAGGCCAGGCCGGGCACCACCGTGTGGACGGCGCCCCCGCCCCCGCCCGCCCGGTCCAAGGCGGTGCGCTTGATGGCCTCCTCGCTCACGTCGCTCCAGTAGATGAGCCCCCGCGAGAAGACGTAGTCCACGGCCGCCGCGTCCTCCAGGCCGCCCACCACCACGCTGGCGTTGGCGCGCTCGCGGGACGCGTCCACCAGCCGCAGGTCCCGACGGTTGGCGTACAGCAGCAGTGGCTCGCCTGGGTGGGACGCACACACGCACACGTCAGCTTGGCACACCGACGTCACTGTCGCGCAATCGATGAGCAAATGAACGCTCAACTGCGGCGGGGAGGATGGCACCGGTGCGCTCCCTCCCTCTTCTTCTTGGGCCTCTTAAAATGCCTTTGGCCTTGGAACATTTTCACGCAAAGTGCAACCTCAAGTGACAGATGGGGAAAGGAAAGATTTTGCGAGCCCCGAATAAAGCCAAATTTCAAAACAAACAAACATTTGGCCTTTGGAGTATTTACGAGTCGTCAAATCAGCTGCTCGCTCGGCCCGGCGCTCATTTGACCGGTCAAAGGGCCCATTCCGATTTTTTTTGCCAACCGCATTCGCAAAAACATTCGAGACGTCCGGCGAATGCAAGGCTCGGGATCACATTGGAAGCGTCTCTTTCTTTATTTTTTGCGCGTGCTCCGCCTCTTGAAAAACACTCAAAAGGCACAATTGTGAAATCAAGAAGATGACGCAAAAAAAAAAAAAAAAAACTGATGTTGCAAGACAACCCGCCATCCAAAATCGTTGGGCATACAAGGCCGATCATAGGTCAGGTGACACGAGCAAATGGAAGACGAGCGGCAGCGAACAAAGGTTACGCACCCTTGCGCAATCGAAAGGCGATGAATGCAAGCGTGATAAAAAGTGGCCCGATGAAGAAAAATGAAACTTTGACCCAAAGGGTGCGTGCGGAAAAGAAGAAGGCGGCACTCTGAACTCCAATGTCATGGACAGCTGCAGTTGGAAATGGAAGCAGCGTGAATCAGAATCAAAACAATCGCAACGCGGCCTTGTGAGGAGCGACACCGGAGCAAGGTGGCATTATTCAAGCCAAACACAAAGCGAGGCTGCTTCAGAGTGAAAAAGGGCTTGAGTCAGACCCCCCCCCCCCCCCCCCCCCGCCCCGCGCCCTTTCCTTTCCTCCTCAAAATGCTCCCACGCATGACACCTGCGTGGTCAGATGAACATGACATGGGATTCAAGTGGCTCACCAAAAAAAAAAAAACACAATCGAGTGAATGGGCAAAAGTGGCTTGAAAAATAATCCACATGTGCCTTTTGGCATCTTCACACACATACGGTCAGGATGGAGAGGACCTGCAACAATTCACCAACTATTTTGAAACTCAATTCATGGTTAAGAGACCGCGTTTGACTTCAAATCGTGGCCATTTCAGCCTCTCGGCAGTCAATCGTCTTTAATTTGTGTCGTCGGGACAGATTTCCCAAAGAAGACACTTGCAAACATCGGTCTTGACTTCACAAAAGTCAATGTTTTTGCAGAGTTCTTGAATGATGTTACAGACCAAACCAGGGACTGGATCATCAGCAATTTATGCAGCGTCCGTGTGAAATGCCCTGCTTTTCAAGAAAGAGATGGAAATTTCACATCCACATATACGTCTCCATGTATCTATATATAAAGCTTGCTTGTCTAGACGCTTGTTGTGCTCAGAGTCGCTTGTTTTTCTCCAACTCGCCAAAAAGGAGGATGAAAGAAAAGCGGCTGAGGGAGTGCAAGAAAAGCCAGAGTAAAACACTGTGCGTTTTACTCGAGTGGGAAGGAAGGGGGGGGGGACGGGACAGGAGAAAAAAAGTCCAGTTGGACCAGAGCGGCGCAGTCTTGAGGGACCATCGAAATGATTTTCCAGCGAATTTAGCCAAAGTGCACATTAGCCCCGCTAGCCTACCCTGCCCCGACAAGGCTATGCTAGGCTAGGCGAAGCACGTCGTCTGCTCTCCCGACAAAGCGGTCGGGCCGCCAACTCCGCACGAGCGCCCGCGGCCCCGCGCGGCCCCGACTCGAGTCGAGCGTCGTCGAGGAGCTCACCCACCTCGCACCAGGGGACAAAAGGTGCTCAACAACAGCGTCCGCAGCACCGCGGCCATGCTGCTCACGTTCGGCCGCTTCTTCCTCGCCCTTTGTCGGCTTGTGCTCGCGCTCACCGCCGCCTGGCGTTGCTCGTCAGCGGCCAGCGAGGAAAAACATCGCGCTCGCTCGCTCGCTCGCCCAGCCAGCGAGCGATGCGTCTCCGCCTCCCGCTCAACCTCGGCCGCGGCCTCCCCCCACCCTCCCTGGCTGGCTGGCTGGCTGCTCCCTCGCTCGGCCTCGCGCAAGTGGCTCAGACGGCGGCCGGGGCGCTCGGGCGTTCCATGTCTCGGCTGGCGTCGTCGCGTTGCGGCCTTCGTCGCGGGCTTCGGGCTTGTTGTTGGCTTGTTTGCTACCAAGCGCGACGCTCCAACTCTCCCCAGGAAGCCGGAGCACGCCAGCACATTGTCCTGCCCGCTCAGCCTCCGCCGTATCCGTGCGCCGCGTCCCCTTCCTCCCCCTCCCCCGCTATTGTCCGACGACCGACCGTCTCGAAGGCGAACCAAACCAACTGATCGCCGTCAACGCCGAGCCGCGCGCTCGATAGCCTCGCGTCGGTGGCGAAACGAGAACCAAACTCGAGGAGGACGGGAGGAAGGAGAAAGGGAGCCGCTGCACAAGCAAACGCACTCACATTCCACGGGGACTACTTTCTCTACCGCTTGGATCGCTGCTAACTTTCAACAATTCCCCCCCCTCCCCTTTTTTTTCGAGCAGCAAAGCGCCCGACCTCTATTCTTGTCAACGTTTACTATTTTCACGCGAGGGTACGTCCTACTAATTCAATCAAATCGCGTTGGGGTAAATAAACTCTTTGGAGCCTATTATTGTTGTCCATCACATCATTTCAACCTAAATAACCCCCCCCCCCCAAACACACACACAGTTCAGCCAAGTTCATCTCGACATTTTAACGTAAAATCCAACTAGTTGCACCCTTTTTTTTCTTCTCAGCAACCCAGAGATATAAGATACAGAAGCAAAAACATTTTTCACCATGACACAGCTTCAAAATCAAATCACGTTAGCTTTTGACGTCCAAATGAGAAACATACAAAGTTCTTATTTGTAATGCGTACAAGAAGAAGTTTTAATCAAAAAGTGTCAACATCAGCTTTGGGTTGAACTCAACACGATGAAAAATCTGACAAATGTGAGCAAAAACGCTTTGGAGGGGGGGAAAAAAAAGTGACGGGTGATTGGACCTGCTGCTGTCGCCGCCGTGTGGCCAAGAGAGGCGCTGCAGCATCTAAACAACTGCTTCGAAAAGCTCAAGAAAAAAAAAAATCATTCGATACAAAGAAAGAATCTCAGCGTTCAATCTTCAAACGTGTGTTACATTCAAAGCATGTGTGCGCGCGCGCTATTTAGTGAGAAAAAAAAGACATGCAGGTGATGGAAAGGTGCAACTAACTAATCTCTGATCAAATGACTTGGTAAGTATTTGGATCGTCCATGGTTGAATTGGCTCAAATGACCCAGCTGGTCTGGATTTCAGTGTCCCGACACTAAATATCGCCCGGCCCTCCATGAAAGCAGACCGGACGACCTCGCCAAACGCATCTGCTCGGACTTTGGAAAACAAATGGTTGTTTTCCGATGCATGTTACGCACCCGAGCGGGAACGGAACCAGAATCCCAATCCATCGATTCTGCCGACTTTCTGCAACGCGTCCATTGAAATATTTAATCAAGGAATGCAAATTGAACAATGATTTTCATCGATTCGAAATCGAACGCACGACGGCGACCATCGTGAGTTGCGGAAATGACATGCCGGCATGAAGAAGTCGAGTCGTGCGGGTTGCGCACCGGCGTCTCCCTGAGTTGGGCGCCGTCGCCACCGACGGCTGTCCCCATTGGTCTCCGAAGACAAACTCGGCGGGCGCCCCCGAGACAACGTGCGCAAAAGACGTCACGCGGCCATTTTGCCGGTGCAGATGGCCCGCCGGGACGCGGCGACGCCACTTTCACAGGTCGTAGTGGAGGTCGTTGAGCTCCAGGCGCGTGTAATGGCGCCTGTCGAAGGACTCCATGGCCTTGCGCCCGCCCACCGCCAGGGCCAGCGTCAGCACCGCCGCCGCCGCCACCAGGAGCGCCACCACGCCGCTCTTCAGTGCCCCCGGCCCCGCCGAAACCGGCCCCCTGGGGTTCTGGGCCCCCGTTGGCACCTTGGACGTCTGGCTCCGTCTGCTGCCAAATGTCAACGGCGCGGGCGTGGTCAGACACGAAGAAGGCGGAGTTGTTGCCGTCGAGGGAGGGCTCGCGCTCGCCTTCGTGGTTGGAGGTGGAGTTGGAGCAATCGCAGTCCGCGGAGGAGGAGTCGCGGCGGTCGCGGTCGGTGGAGTCGCGGTGTTCGGAGGTGGCGGCGTGGTCGTCGTGGGTGTGGGCGGGGGTGGGCTTGATGTCGCAGCGGGGGGAGTCGTGGTCACAGTGGTTGTAGGTGGGGTCGTGGTCGTAGGAGGCGGAGTCCCAACAGCAGGAGTGGTGGTCGGAGGCGCAGCGCTTTCGGGCACTTTGTCGGCAGTCCTCGGCCCCGCCTCCTCACTTTTGGTCTTTTTGTGGTTTTTTGTCTTGCTTTGCTTTTTCGGCATCTCGTCCGCTCGCTCGGCGGCCGTCGGCGTCGCGGTCGGCAGAACGGGCGCGCCGGCAGACGGTC